ATATATATACACATTTTTAGCAGATTCTGTACATATATATGTATATATATTACTTGTACACCTTGTGTCTTAGAGCTTCCTAATAATTGTCTCAAATTCAAGACTTAATAGATCTGTAATTTTAGAAGGGTAAATGTCTGGAGGCAGAAAACAAAAAAAAACTGAGGAAAGTTTTATGACATTTTGAGAAGTGACCAAGGGCAGAGGTTTTTTTTTTTTTGGTACTGGGAATCAAACTCAGGACCATGCACTTGCCAGGCAGGTACTTGTGCCGCTGAGCTATATCCCCGGCTAAGGGCAGAGTTTTTATTATAAGGATGCAAGTGTGATGAAAACAGCTGAAGGATGGGTTTAGTGGTTTATGTCTGTTCTCTTTCCTAGGAATTTTCTCTTACAGACCCAGCAAAATGTGGCAAAGATAGATTCATGTTAGAACTGTTACTAATAAGACAGATTTCCCTCTAGAACTCAGGTTTCCAAATCCGATCAGATAGTAAAAAGATCACTAAAAAGAATTCTGCTTTCCTTGAAGACAAAGTAACTCAGCATTTTGGTACTGGGAATTGAACTCAGGACCTTGTGCTTGCAAGGTAGACGCTGTGCCACTGAGCTATATCCCCAGCCCAACTCAGTATTTTAGAGCATAACGAAAGGAAACACCAAAACTACTTAGTTCAGAGAGAATTAGAGAGCCCTCTATGGAGGCAGCTCAGTGGGTCTCAGAGGAATACAGGTGCACTATTTTTAAGTTGCAGCACATTCTGGGAATAAGAGAGGAATCCTGTTGTTAGTGGGTTCCAAGAGTATTAGCTAACTCAGAAAAAGTCCATAGTGGCTGAATGGTCTGCTGATACCAAGTAAAGCTGAGTTTATGATGTAATGCAGTAAGGGCAGGCGCCGCCACCTTGACAGTCTTAGGAGTGTCTCTGCAAGGAGAAGGTGATGGCACAGGTGTTCATAGGGTTTGAAGCTAGTGTTTTAAGGGGAGACTTTCAGTTTTCAAATCTAATTGGCCAATTTTGTGATATAAAAGTTTAAGACTGATAGACACAAAGGCCAAGGATTTAAAGCAAGTCTTGAAAAGTAAAGATTGACAAGGAAAAGATGTGTTCTGAGAAAGGAACTGTTTGCCCAAATCAAGAATCAATACTATTTTAAAATTCTGCTGATTAGTGACTGAGCAGTCTGGCAAATGATTTGTGAGAACTCAAAGCAAATAATGATGGCTTATAGCCTTATTTTCCTGCATGCCAATTTCTTAAGGAACTCATGGGAAAGTCATGTTGATGTAGGTAGTCTTTAGTTCTTTGTTCTGAAAGTGAAACGATATGAATGCGGGCGGTCTTAGTTCCCATATTTCACTAAGTGACATGTTTTCTCATTACTGGTTTATATATCTTTGTTAGACTTACTCCTAGGAACCTTATAGCTCCTATTGTAAAGTCTTTTTTGTAAAAGTACATTTCTGTTGTTTTATTGATGTCTAAATTTACACTTTATAATAGTCTTCTTACAGATATTGTAGTTCTTAATTTTTTATAGAGGCAGGTACGTTTATCATTTACAAGTGGTGAATTTTATCTTTATCTTTTAGATTATTTCTTTGTCTAGTTTTACTGGGGTCTTGAGTGCAGTGTGGAGTGAAAGTGGTGGTGGTGGATGTGGCGGAGGCGTTTGTTACTTGATGTTTGTGTACTGTCTCATATTTCCAAGCCCTCTTGACAGGTAGATGAGGCCTAGCTCAAGCCAATGGACTGTAAGTAGAAAAGATGTGACTCTCATCCAGGTCGAAGATTGACGATTTGATGCACATACTCCTGTTACAGTGACAGTGAGGCTTCATGTTCTAGGTGGCTTTGCTTCTTGTAAATTGTTCCACATGTCCTATCCGCAGGGGTCCTTGGATGGTTGTGTGCAGTGTAATTTCATGTGCTAACCCCTTTATTACCACAGACCATAAAGTGAAACTTTATTATATTAAAGCTGCCGATTTTTAAGCATAACTTGCTGTTCTAGCATAGACCAAGAAAGTATGTATTCTTGTCTTGCTCTTGCTTTTAATGGAATCATGTTTAAGTTTTCATACATGTAAAATGTTATTTGCGGTAGAGCTTTGTTAGATATCCACTAGCAAGTTAAAAGTCACCTTTGAAAGTGTGTGTATGTAAAGAATTATCTGAATGGCAAATGCTTCTCTTTTGTGTTTTTTGAAATGAGAATTTTATAGCAAATTAATAGATTTTAAAATAGCTTATCCACTGGTATGCTGCTACTGTTCTATTTTTTTGTTTGCTTATTTTTCATGTACTACTCTCTTTAAGATAAAATAAAAAATAAATAAATAAAAATTAAAAAATAAAAAGCAAAAAATAAATAAATAAAATAGCTTATCCTTGTATTTGAATAAGCCTATATCCTTATATTGTATGAATAAGCCCAACTTGATTATATCATATTTTTTTAAATTTTTCATCATGACTGGATTTAATCTGTTAGTATTTTATTTATATTTTCCCCTATGTATGGCCACAGATGAGGGCAACATGTAACTGTCCTTCCTTCTACTTTCCTTGAGTAGTTTGGTAGCATTGTTGTGATCACATTATAACATTAGTTGAGATGATTTCTTTCTTACAAACAATTCATCAGTTTGTTCCTTAGCTTGTATGTTGGATTGCTGGTAAATCAGATTATCACATTATCCTTGTATAAATCCTGTGAGGCTTGGGCTATGAGAATTTTCTGTTTGTTTCTGCCGTGGATCCCTCTTAATGTCAATGGCCTGGGACCCCACTGCTTCATAGTCATTGGGTTTTGCTTCAGTTTCCTTCTGTGTGAAGTGTACCTACCTCGTGAGGTTGTTGCAAGGATTTAAAAAA